TTGCCCGCGCACTCAAAATCCAAAATTGCCGTGTAGCTAGCGCAAGCATAACACGTGGGCCTGCATGACAGCTATATTTATACCATCTAAATATAAGTAAGGCCAAATGAGACCGTTCAGCTAAAAGTATCGGATGTTTTTGGACGTAAGGTAACGACGAATGGCGTAAACGTCCACCCACACGGATTACCCCATAATCGTCCAAAAAAGGGCACAAACGTGCCATAGGTTTAAAAAATATACAGAGTCCAGCTACAAGTTCATTTTTTAACGCGGCAAAAAAACATTGTTGTGAAACAATCACTATTGCCCGTAACGACGCGTCGATTTCCTCTTGAGTGATCGCGACCGCTGGAGATGCATTGTGGCGACACTTATGTGCAAAACGCTTCACATACGATATTACTCGTAACATCCGATTATATCAGGAAAAACGAGTTGACCATTCGGTTGGAGGGTCTTGGGCGCGGTCAGTTAATGAAATAATGCTAACTTCAGATGAATCGGATACATCCAATAACGAAGGTAGCGACGGCCACGTATCTGGCGCTTCTGAAATAAATAACGTATAATTACATAATTTAGAGGGCCATACTCCGCGCGACACGCAGTCGGCCGGGTTGACGGTTGTGTTTACATAGGACCATGAGCACTCAGGTATTAAACATTGCACCTGATGTACTCTATTTTACACATATGCCTTAAAAGTATCATGTGGTACACTTAGCCACGATAATACCACGAGCGAATCGGTCCAAGCATGAGTTGTGATAATATTTAAATCCGTTGACAAAATGGATTTAATTCGTCCTAACCAACGTGCTAAGAGTACTGCGGCATTTAACTCGAGACGGGGTATAGAAAGTGGTTTAATCGGAGCTAATTTAGTTTTTGTCAGCAACAAAATCTGACCACTCCATACTAATGTCGTCAGGTAATCTTTCGTCTCACCATAGGGACAGTTGCCAGGTTCGTTGCATTATAGATTTTGCCAGAATAATACAGGGAGACAGAAGGCCGAGTGGATCAAACAAGCGGGCTATTAATGATTTTCTTGGATAAGCTTGTCATTTTCTTGTTCAACAATAATTTTCCTAGAATCTCAATGTCCTCTGAGAGGAATAGTTTGTTAATCACATAAAATTCTAGTTTGAATTATTGGAGTTATATTTTTTCGATTTTTCCTAATCAGTTCAGCTCTTTTAGTTTCTATTTTACACGTTATAGACTTTTCAGGATGTTTTACAGCATCCATAAAATGATCTGAACTTAATACACAGTTTTGTTAGAATGTTCTTTAAAATCAACAATAGTATTTCTCCAATTATCATATTTTTTTTTTACTAATGCACCTAAGATTTGTCGGTTATTTTTATTCGATTTAAAAAAAGCTACACAGATTCGACAAAATGCACCATTTTCTCTTATCGAGTATATCAACCAAGGAAATCTTAATAGCCATAAATACTGAAATTTTAAATATTTTGGTTTATTGTGAACTGTATATAGTTTTTGTGGGAATTTGTATGATATAATATTTGGCATCCAAATTTATTAAATATTGTAAAATTATTTTTTATTCTTTTAATAAAGTCCATCTTACTATATAATCAGCAATTGTAGTTAATACGTATATTTTTATCAATGAACATATAAAGGCAATGACATGATTATTTATTAAAATGTGTAATCGACAATTGTACAACAAATGAAATATTTAAATCTTTTTTTTTTTTTTTTATGTTCACATCATGGTAGCGACTGTGTATTGATTAATGTGATTTGTAAATTTGAGATTGTGCTCGGCCTCTGGTAAAGCTACACAATTTTCACTTCTGTTGTACCCACGGTGCTTGCCCTCCCTCGCTGTTCGCCATTCCTCCAAAATGGTTCTGTAAGTTTTTTGTTAGTTATCTTGGATTTTGTTTTGATTTATATTGTTTACTTTTCAGCCTATCAAACCTCGATTCCATAAGGTATTGCCATTCGACATCGGAGGGTGATACTCATTACGATTACTACGTGCAGTCCGCTCTCGGAGTTTATCGAAAACGTTTATTTCTTATTTAATTTCCAACGTAATTCGTTTAACAATACTATTGTATCGATTTACATTTGAGTCTCTCATTAAACTGTATTTTTCTAATAATAATTATTATATCAATTTCTATTTCGAGTATATTACTTCAATATGAACAAAATTTTTTTATCTGTGTTATTGCCCAATAAAGAAACATGATTTTTCCTATTTAAATTACTTTTTTTTATTAAAAAAAAATAATAATTTTTTATGTGTGTGATATTTTTAAAAACATTATGACTTAAGAATTATCTGATATAAAAAATATTGTATTAGATTTTACATTTTATGCATGGAAATTATCGTACGCGGCGACTTCCTTACTTCGTCAATTATTATACATTGAATTTTTGATTCATATTCGGTTTGTTTAAATGACAAATTCACTATTGTATTATTTTCAAATTTACAAGTTTAAATATTTATTTATTTAGCGAATATTTGGAATATTCGTTTTTGCCTACTCCATTGAATACATTCAACGTACTTTAATTTCGAATACTCTACTTTAACATGAAATATTAATCAGATTTAGTGAGTATTCCACTTCTGTATATTTCCCTCCACGAACCCGATCGACACGCCGTAATCCGTAAACCATCTTCGTAACATCTATTACCTATTCGATACGAGTGACCGTGTCATATGACCGCCGCGCAAATGACATACTGCCGCCAACACCTTTTTCAAGAATGCGGTTGACCGTTATCATTACCGTATGTATTTATCCCCGTAAACCTTACTTTTCAACTGACGCGTTGGGCGCGCTACCGATATCTCCTGTTATTGTTCAACGCAACATATCTAGCGCAGCCGAATACTCCTTTCCCTTATCTGTTACCTACTTGGTAACCGGCTTTTGCCGCTCCTTCTCTAGATCGCGGAGCAAACCCTTGATTTCCATAGCGAGGCGTACGTTAGAAGCTATCGAACCGACTTTCTTTCCGAAACCACCTTTTTGACCATCTCCTCTAGATCGCGGAGCAAACATTTGGTTTCCGTAGTGAGACGCACGTTCGAAACGTTTGGACTTCCTTTACCGAAATCTTCTCCCGATCCAACTTCGCTTTTGCAGCCTCTTTGCTAGAATCGTGGACGGGTTTGGATTTGTTGGGGGGTTGCACTTTTTTCCGTAATCAATTGCTCCCGATCCAATTTTGCTTTTGGGGTTACTTTGCTGGGTTGCACGTGGGTTTGAATTTTTTGGGTTTACTTTGCTCGATGGGGTTGCACTTTCTCCGTAATCACTTGCTCCCACTTTGTTTTTGGAGTTTCTCTCTTTGCTTATATTGATACAAACAAATATATATTAATAATACATATTAATACATAAATGATTCTAAATCATTAATATGTAGTTTTATTATGATTTTTTTTTTGGTGGGGGACTGATAAAATTCTTGAGTAAGACTAATACAAGAGGAGCGGGTCTATAATTTTTCATGTGAAAACATCTTAAGTTACGTTTGAGCATTTCCGCCGGAAGAGTGAAAATTTTCGATCGTTACCTTTTTAGCGTTACACTGTATAAACTCAATCCAACTTAAATTAAAAAATCAAATCAAACCCGATTAGGTGTTCCTCGTGGCCATTGTACAATAAAAACTATATGTATAATCCTGTACAGTTAATAATAATTTTAATTCACATAACCCATTATCATTATATACAACGTTTATGTTAAACCGTTAAAACGTTTTAAAATAATTTAAAGCAGCTTGAAAAAAAATTTTAAAAATTAGATTTTAAATTCAATTTTTGAAACAGTTTTTATATAAAATATAATTAAAAATATTTTAAACAAAGTTAGGTTAAATTAAAATGCCAATAAATAATTTCTGTTTATATAACTAATTTAATACCGTTCTAAAATAAATAAAACCGTTTAGATGATACAAATAAAAGATTATTAAAACAAACATAACAAAATATCATACTAAATATTTTTAAAATTATGAGAATTATCACTATCCTTAATAACCCTGAAAAAATGTGTTGAAGACACTTGCCTAAAACTAAAAAAAATATGACTGTAGAAGTACCATCATCTTGTTTTTCACATTAGGTATGACATAGATTTCCACACGTAAAAGATCAAAGCTAAATTAATAACAGTGCCTGACAGATAAGTACACTACGAAAATAGTTTATCCTGATAGATTAAATTTAGATTGAAAACTTCAATATAATAGATATTGAAGTTACAAAGATAGCCGTTATTGTCAAAAAAAATTATAATAATAATAAAATTAAAAATGCAAATAATAATTAAACCTATAAGGTAGTTAAATCCTAAAGTTATTTCGATTTGTTTAAGACGTTAAACTTAATTCAAATCTCCTGTTATTTTCTTTTTCAGAATTATTATGTTATTAATCATTAATTAAATTGTTAAACTATATTATATATTCAAGTTAATAAATTGTTATGTTGATTTATAATCGCATAGCATGATGTTTTTTATTAATAACTAAATGGTAATAGCAATGTCACATGGGCAAAATTTTTAATAGTTGCAAGAGAATAAATCCAAACGTTGATATTTTATTTCATACAGATTAAATTTTATATGTATAAATATTCTGTTAACCGATATCAAATTTATTACACTTGAACTTTCATAAAAAAATCTGTATCATTTGTAAACTAATGTAATAAATAAACAAACAAATACAAAAGTTTTTTCTTCAAAATATCTTTAAAATATATATATATATATATTTTTTGATAATTCTTTATAATAAATTCTTAACATATTGTAATCTTTGACCAAAATAAAATAAAAATAAACAAGTATTGTTTGTATTAAATTTACTTATAATTGGCTAATACATTTTTTTAATGAATTTTTACAATTAAGTTTCTTTGACAATAAGATGTAAATGTTGATTTTATTGACATTTGAGTTCAGTTCGTTTTTTCCCGTGAAAAACAAACTATCGTTTTGCTTAAGTATAAAGATTTATTTAATTAGTTATTGATATGGCAAGTGAAAAAAATATTTTTGGTCAAACAAATGAAACAAACTTACATAAGGTCATACGCAGAGTTGAAGAAATATGGAATCGTCGTTTCATGCATTCCAATTGTGTTTCAAATAATCCAAATAAAGGACAAATATCAAAAAAGTATACTAAAGGTAAAAGAATTATCTGTAAACACTATTAAGATTAATGATTAAACTAATTATTTCGAATAGAAAAAAAGTTTTTTAATATAAAATATAAGAAAAATTAATAATAACTTCTCTTATTGATATATAACAATAATTCAGTCGCTTTACTTTAACTTAACTATTTTAATATTAAAAAACTTTGTCAAAATTGATTATTTAATTAATAATTATTAAAATGATATTCAATTTGCAGCAATTATTAACGAAAATATTTATCCTATAACGAATTCCATTATTCCAAAAAAACGCACGTATCGAAAAACGAATAAAAATGATAAAATTATTTCGGAAAAATTGGTAACTATAATTATATTAACAAATCTATAAATAATAATTTTTTAAAATTGTAATGTAATCGATTTAGTTATGTAATTAGGGTTTGTCTGATTAAAAAATATAAAATAAACTATCAACCCCCTTAATATAATTGCGATAACATAATGTTTAATATTATTCAGGACTGCTATTTTTCAATAAGATTTTTATGGGAAATTCAATTTTTATCGGAGATAATAATATAATATTAAACATAGTTTATTTGTTTATTTAAATATCTCTTTGGTTGACTAGAAATTGATACAGCGAGGAGAATTCGGAACACTTATTAAGAATGAAAAATCTAGAAAATATAAAAATAAAATTTTAAATTCAACAGAAAATAAAAATATAGCAATTTCAAAAGACAATCCGCTATTAATACCAGCTGAATTGTTAAAAAAGGTATATTTTATTATGCTATTTTTCAATAAAAAAATTTTATGGTATATCTTAAACCATTTTTTGGACTTTTTAAATAAATTTATCATATAATTAAATATATATTTATGATCCGTTAAGAGTTTTCATAAGAAAAACTTGCAACGCAAAAAATCCGAAATAAAAAAGCAACTCTTTGAGATATCTTCTAATACTACTGCTCGACCAAATTTAAAAAGAAATTCATCCGAAGAAGATGAAAAAGTCATAAAAAGTATTCAATTTTTAAAATATAATTAATTTTTAAAAAATAATATAATAAACATTTTGATTTTTGAAACAAATATGTAATATTTTAAAACAAATTATTTTAGAGCTAAAAGTTAGTTCTAATCCTTTGACCTTAAATACGCCGAATGACGTAAATTTACTTGCTCTGTCCACTGTTGAAGTAATAAAAGTACCAGAGAAAGAAAAAGGTAATTAATTATTTAATCTATTTATTGTATACAAAATAAAACAAAAAAAGATTATTTATTATACTTAATTAATAATAATAATACGTGTTAAATTAATATAACCCGCAGAGGCGTGTTATTAAGGGGGTCCATGGAAGTTTTAAACAATAGTAATTATGTGTTTAATTTTATATTCCAAAACCTTAAATATACCTAACTAATAGTAAACTGTTCAACAAAGTTTTTTATTAATTTTATGAAAAATGTTTAAATATGGTTACACTTGCAGAAGTAATGCAAGATCAGAACACAAAATCTCTTGATTTGTATAATGCACCTTCATTTAAGTCGCCTATATCTTGGTATACTTCAGACACAATTAATGAGTACATTAAAATGATAGTAACACGGTCAAAAGGTGAAGTTTATGCAGTTGTCACTGATTTTATTATAGCGTATCTTCGAGGAGGTTATCCAGCTGTAAGAAGATGGATAAAAAAAGATATTCACACAATAAAATTACTTTTTGTGCCGATGAATGTATATGGGAGTCATTGGATATTGACAGTGGTTAATGTACCTGAAAAGACTGTAACATCATATGATAGTCTTAAGTCGTATAAGGGTCCTTATCCAATGGTATTAAAAAATTTCTTAATTGAATGGGAGATGGACAAAAAAGGAAAAGCTTCTACATGGACATTACAAATAGGTGAGACATCTCGCCAAACCAATGGACATGATTGTGGGCCATTTACTATTGAGCTGGCAGAAAAAATTTCTCGAGGAGATACAACATCAATAAATGCAAATCTTATGCCTTTTATAAGATTAAGGCACAAAAATGAAATTATTGCTGGCGAGCTATTCTATTAATATTTATATGAATGAAATTTTATTTTTGTATTTTATATCAATTTTCTTAATATTGACTATAAATTGAAATTTTTATTTGTATACTACCAAACATTTTTTTACTTTTTCTATATTTAATTGTTATTTTATTTTAATCTTATTTTTCTTTGTAACATTATTTCATTAAAGAAATTCAAATTTAATATAAATTTATCTTAACTGAAGTAATTTAATCTTCTTGTTATGTGATTATACAAATATTATAATATATAGTTATGGATACAATTAAGTTAAAATGTCAGCCAATTATAAATTTTTAAGTTAACAAGTGTATCTACTATCTTAACAACTTAATTTTAATTTTACTAAATAACGATTCATAACTTTTGTTTATTTTTTAAATACTATTTTAATTATAAAAAATTCTTTTCTGTATTTTTTATGAATGCGGTATATTGAATAGGGGTAACTAAACTTATTTGTTTATACTTCTCTAAACTGATAAACTATAAAATAAATTTAAAAATGAATTACAATTTCAGAATATTTCCGTTGTTATTATATTTTTAATACGAGTATTTTTGTTATCTAAATGACCCAATGAAATCCAAATAATTTCTAGAAATCTCTGATAAAATGAAGATAAATACGTGTCGTCGAATCCTATCAAATTAACTTCATTTTTGTTATTTATTTAAAATACCATTTATTTTATAGTAAAATAAATATAGTGTACTATAAAAAAAAGTTAATACTAATATATTAGGCATTTTTTTTTAAGTCGGGGGGTATCCAGACATGGAGGACACCCCCCCAAAATACTCCACTGATAGTAATAATTTCTAATTAACTTTTGTTGTTTTAAAAGATTCTGCAATTGAAATATGCAGAACTAAATTAATTTTGATGATTTACTTTAACTAAAAAAACCAATAAAAAAAAAAAAGTTGTTAAAAAAATCTACTCAATTGAGCGTATTATAAAATTTGATTGTAATTGTAAAAATCCATTGTTAAATTGAGGTGAAACTAAATGTCAATTTATTTTAGATTTATGATTTATATAACAACATGTTTCAAAAATATTTGGAATATTATAGTCTAGTAGTAGCTTACACAAATAGAGTAAAAAAATTAATAAATTTCATCGTAAAATTATATAATATCAAACCTAATTCGACAATATACTTTAAAATTATTAGAAATGAATGATTTTAATTGTTTGTATGGATAAAGCTGGTTAAGCTACTTTTTATTTAATTAAGAGATTTGATTTCAATTTTTGAGGATAATATCATCAACTAAATGTACAATGCACATTTGACATATCGTTGAAAAAAGTAGGTTAAATGAGGGTTAGAAAAATAAATCGCAGCCACAAAAAAAACGCATAATAAAATAATATTAACATGATTAAGAAATTTCTTCTCATGAGGGGAGACTACAATGATGGGATCCTTAATATTTATTGAAGTTATTTTAATGACATAAAAATCAAATAATTTGAAAATTTTTTGTAACTTAAAAAAAATGCAATATATTAATTGGTACCGGCGGATTCGAACCTGGTACCTCAACCTTGAAAGGCACAAGAGTCACAGTTCGGCAACAATCCGTCGCTTTTATCGTTTAATAAAATTGGCAATTTAAGCTAATTTAAACCTTGAAGTTACTTTTTCGACTTTAAAAAACCAAAATAATTTTAATAAGTTTAACTTTTTATATCTTATGAATTTTATTTTATGTAAATTAAATTATATAATATTCATGAAAGTCAGTGTATTCCCCTTGTAAGATATTTTAAAATAAAATAAAATACAAAACACAGAATTTTAACACAAAAATTGCATATTTTTAATACGGTTGGGTATTTTAACTAAGAAGAAAATCTATATTTCGAATTTTTTTTTTCATAGTAAAGTATATAATATAAGTTTTAATTTAAAATTAAATAAGTGTCAATATTTCCGGAACATTTTCAAAAATTACACTAAAAATAGCTTAACTAGTGTGCAAAAATTGCTTTTTTGAATCCCCTCATGTGGGCAGGTTTAGAGTTAGATTTTCAAAAAATGTATATCAAATGAAAGAAAAATATCTAATGTTTCAATATAAAAAAAAATATTTTAATTTGTTCATTTTTCAAAAAGTTATGGCAGTTTTAAGTATTAAAATATTTCATGCTAAACAGTGATTTTTACATAAAAATTACATTTTTCGTTAAATTCGATGGCCATTTTCTCATAGCAGAAAAGGTGTGGGGACAAATTTTTTTTTTTGAATTTATATTATTTATTGTAAGCTTTAATTTGACATATGTTTAAAGGACGCAGTATTTACGGAACATTTTCAAAAGTTAAGTTGAAAATATTTTACTTTTTATACGTATGTTTCAAGTATTGAATGCTTTCTGTATAAAGGGAAATTGTCCAATTTAAATAAAAAGTATGTCAAATGAAATAAGTATACATAATATATATATAATTTAAAATCGAAAATTGAAAATTTTAACACAAAAATAGCATTTTCTTTAAATTACAGCTACCGTTTACACGTAGAAGATAAGTCGTCGGGACAAATTTTTTTTTTTAATTTATAGTACGTAATATTAGATTCTATTTGACATATATTTAAAGCTCGGAGTATTTCTGGAACATTTTCATAAATTAAGTAGAAAAAGTTAGTTTTTGTAAAAAAGTTACTATTTTAAATCCTCCTCTGTGAGCAAGTGAAGTGCTAGATTTTCAAAAAAATGATATCAAATAAAAGAGAAATATCTAAGGTTTCAATATAAAAAAATATTATTTTGATTTGTTCATTTTTAAAATAGTTATGGTAGTTTTAAGAAAAAAATGTCAAAAATTACTGATTTTAAAAATTGTAATTTTTTTGGAGATTTCCCCGATTTATGTGGAACGAGGAAGATTTTTTTAACTTTTAAGGGTAATGTCTTCAACTAGATACCATTTGTGATCTTTTGACGTATCGTTGAAAGAAATCCGTCCAGTGAGAGCCGAGAAATTGTGGCAACAGACACAAAAAAAGAAACACATGGTAAAACTAATACCTTATCCGCTTCGCATCGAAGCTAAACATTCAAATGGTTTTAATTTAATTACGATGAACGTATGTTTATGAAGAATATAAAAATCCTCAAGGTTCTTGTGTCTTATTTGTATATCAAATGAATTAATTCAATTATTGTTATCTAGGTGGAAGATACTTAAGTATTTCATTTACTATCAGCTCTATTATATAATACTCATAAATTGACATTAAAATATTTAATATTGTGAAATCGTCATATCATTTGTAACCAGGACGTAAACTAATGTTGTTTATATTGTTTTCGTACAGGAAATGTAAATAAATTAAGACAGTTGTGTTGAAATAATTAGTATTCTTTTATTATCTTTAATTATAAAATAACAAAAAAATTACAGATGACATTTAAAAAAAACAAAGGTTGGATGTAAACGTATTCACTCTATGTGGAAAAGATATCGACAATGACTGTATGATTCAAGTTCCCCATTAAAAAAATAACTCATATTTTTTTAATATTACATTTAGAAATCTTTAATTTGATAAAAGTTTGACAAATTTAAACGTTCCGGAATAATTATAAAAATTAGAGTTGAAAAAAATATTACATGCGTGGATGGTCACTTACAAAACCTTATGTACTAAGGTTTATTTTAGTTAACCAAATAGAAAGTGAGTTATTTATTTAAGGGTCAACTATAATCACTCAGTTATCGTCGATATCTTTTCCATAATAGTTATTTGAAAGTAGAAAAAAGTTTTTTCTGTAGACTTATAAAGTTTTTAAGTGTTAAAACCTATTAAAAGTTATTAAAAAAAAGTATATTTAAGTATTTAAGCTATATGTATTGTTCTTTTTCGAGATAACTCTGTACCGAGCTATAATTAGACCGATATACAAATACGGTTTTACGGTATACAAATGTGGGATTCAGCAAAACTTTCTAATCTCAGAACCATCCAGGCATTTTAATCCATGTGTTTACGTCAAATAACTTTACCTCAATGGTTTATTACGAACAA